TGTGACGTGCCCTGGGGACACCTTGAGCCGCTCGCTCCCTCTGGGGGACACGGGCACATCTCTGTGGGGAGAGCAGGTCTGGCATCTCCCACGGACACACAGGGCTGAAACAGGACGGAGAACACATCAGAACAAGAGGTCCTTGTTAATGCCACTTTCTAAAGGGCTTCCCAGGAGCCTCTGCCCGGGAATCCATCACGCTTCGAGGGATATGGGCAGACAAGGATGAGGGAGGCTGAGATCCAGCACAAGAGGATTTCTTTTAATCCGTGTCCTGCTGGATAACCTGGGGCAGGAGTTTTGCCTTCTCTGGGCTGTGCTGCTCCTCCCTGCACAACTGGGCTGATGCTCCCCTCTGCTGAGAGAAATGCTGGAAAGTGCAAATGCTGAAACCTCCAGCAGGACTTTCAGCGACCTAGGTCGTCCAGGACAGCGGGTGAAACTATTCCTGAACTCACATATTCTACAACTTTTCTGACCCCTTTAATAAATCAGAGCCATCCCTGTCACCCTTCACAGACTCCTCACTGAGTCTCTTATACAGGGTAACACCACAGGTCTTTTTTTCCAGAGGTTAAAAACCTCTTTTGGTTTTCTTTTGGTCTGTGGCTTCCTTAGTGATGGTGATGATAACCCGAGCACACCTCTGCTCCCTGCACGTGAATTTGCACTTGGATCTGCTGAAGTCAGCACAAGGCATCTAAAACAAACCAGAAAAAAAGGCCTTTAGCCATTGTTGGGAGCGATTTCAGAAGGCCTCTCATTTACATTCACCAAGAAACTCCCTGTTGTGAAAGCACTTCCCTGGCTTTGTTCCACTACCCCTACACATGGGAGTTTTTTTGTGTGCCTGGGTGGACGGTAATGGTGGCACATCCATAGAACCGGGAGTCCAGGTCCCCAAATTCTCCCACATCACCTTCCCGTAAAAGTAACCAGCTCAGGGGAGATGTTTGTGGGGTTTTTTCCCTTCTTTTTTTTTTTTTTTTTTTTTTTTTTCTTAGTTATTGCCTGCAGTTAGGCACAAAGTTCCCTGGGCATGGACAGAGACACGGCAGAGACAGGACAGGGACAGGGACAGTGCTGGACACGATGAAGCACCCCCGGGGCTCCAAACCAAGCCTGATTTGAACCGAGCTGAGCTGAGCTGTGCCGAGCCCAGCCGAGCCACGCCAAGCTGATTCGAACAGGACCGTGCTGAGCCAAACTGTGCTGCTCGAACCGAGCTGGATCGAGCCTATTCCATACAAACCAAGGACGCCAAGCTGGCTCTGCCCGTGCCGCGCTGCTCAGAGCCCAAGCGAGCCGCGGTGGGCGGTGCCGAGGCGGGGCAGGCGGAGCGGGGCTGTCCCGGGTCGCGGAGCCCGGGCTGGCCCAGCTGAGCTCAGCATGCTGCGGGCGGCGGTGCGCGGCTCCCGGCTCTGCCCGGCCCTGCTCCGGGCTCCCTTCTCGGCCGCCGCCGCCTCCCCCATCCCGGCGCCCAACCCGCGCCCCGACATCGCCTATAACAAGGTAGGGCCGCGCAGGGAGCCCGGGGCGGCCGGGCTGGGCTGGGCTTGGGGGGTTCGGGGCTTCCGCCGATGGAGCCCGGTGCGGGCTGCGCCAGCCCGGGGTGACGCTGAGCCCGGGGCAGCCGCGGGTTTGGGCCCGAAGAGCAGCCCTGGGTGCAGCCACAGGAGCGGGGCACAGGGCGTGTGTCACTATCCCTTTCCCCTCGGTGGGTTCAGCAATCCCGCATCGGTGCGAACAACATAAGGGAAAAAACTCTGTGGAAGGACACGGGAGGGAGGGGAAGGTGCTTGGCTGGTTATCTGCAGAGACCGGACCCTTGTTCCAAGAAAATCCCGGGGGATCACCTGTGCGAGGTGCTGCTGGAAGGCAGCGTTCCAAGGCACCCGGCCACTCCCTCCCCGCTGGCCGTGCCCAGGCTCTTGGTGGCTGTATGGGCGTTCTGCAAGTTCTCGGCGTGCACCACGATCTTTGCACTCCCATTCTCTTGCCACACACCTGAAAAAAAAAAAATTACCCTTAGAAAGAAAGAGTTGGTAAATAGCTGCTGTTAGCACCTGGTTCTGGTGCGTGGGGAGTCTAAAATCGGTTAATCTGGGAAATAACAGAATAATTTAGATTGGAAAAGGCCCTTAAGACTCATAAGAAAGGTGTACAAGTTCTGGCGCTCTGGACAAAATCAACTCATTGTAGTGTCCATGCCTAAAGCATTTTCCCACTCTTTAGTCTCCTGAGCTTCCAAGTCCAGCCAGGCTTCCAGCTTTTGCAAGGACCTACCAAGATGGGAACCTCTTCCAACTCACATGCTGTTTGCTGAGCTGTGAATTCTTTTATTCACTTGAGGCTGTGTTGTGTGCTTTTAGGCTAAAGTATCTCCTTCATATTGCTGCAGGTTTGGAGCCCACACAAGTCAAGTTAAGCCCTTTTAATTAACCAGGATCCTCAGATGCCATCAAAGAAGCAAAACTCCCTCTGATTTCCCTGGGATCTGGCTCGAAGGCTCACCCTGCTTGGCTTTTTCCTTGCAGATTTTCATAAACAACGAATGGCACGATGCAGTCAGCAAGAAAACCTTCCCCTCCATCAACCCAGCCACAGGAGAAGTCATCTGCCAGGTGGCTGAGGGCGATAAGGTAAATGCTGTTGGGATGAGATGGATTTGTTCTCCATGGGAGCAGGTTCACAGGGGTTGCTGAGGAAGGCACCACCCCATGTCCCACCTGGGCAGCTCCGTGTTTGCAGCAGTGTCTGATCTCTGCAAATCCCCTGTCAAGTGCTGCTTGTGTCCTTCCTTGACTACTGCTTTAAAAAAAGAGAAATGGTGGGGAACAAAGTCACATAATCATCACCTGCCTTATGCAAGGCCCTCCTGGGAGTCTGTGGCAGAGCTGAGGTGGTGCTTCCCAGCAATTTGGGGTTTTTCCTACAGTCTGGAAACTTGTGTGTGTTCCCCAAGGGAGGAGTGAGTGAGGGAAACCCTTTGTTGTTTGCTTCTCTGTGGCAGCCTGGCTTGTCCTGGCGAGACCATTGCAGCAAGCCAGGACAGAGAACCAAGTAGGAACCAGCAAATGCCCTGACAGGACAAAATCATGGAGCAGAGACAACTGATCAAGAAAAAAACTCCTTTAGACTGGATTCTGAAAAAGTGCCAAAAGTAGACTTCTAGAGCTTTTTCCATGCCTCGTTCTAGGATGCAAATATTAACCCAGCAGGTGACATTGCAGAAATAACCTGATGATATTTGCACTCTGTGTAGCTGAAATAACAGAGGGTGAGCACAGGCAGAGGTTGTGGCTGCACAGCTGTTGCACCCATCTGCTGCTTCCTCCACAGGGATGCAGCCGGGTGGGAAAGCCGAGTCCTTGCAGTGTTTGTGCTGAGGGGAAGGTGGCCCAGGGCTGCACCCATGCGCTCCCCTGCCCTGGGACTGAGGAGTGCCTTGCAGCGGGGCAGCTGCCAGGGCTGCAGGTTTTTCCCCCAGGAGCCTGGCAGGAGCAGCCTCTCGTGCTGCCTGGCTGCAGGCTGTTTGCTCCCGCAGAGCAGGGAGAGCTTTTGTTGTTTGCAGCGAGGGAGGGGGAGCTGGTTACTCCCTCCTCACCCTTTGCCTGGGCTCCCCCGCAGGCAGATGTGGACAAGGCAGTGAAGGCAGCCCAGGCAGCGTTCCAGCTGGGCTCTCCCTGGAGGAGGATGGATGCGTCTCACCGCGGGAAGCTGCTGAACCGTCTGGCTGACCTGATCGAGAGGGACCGCGCCTACCTGGCCGTGAGTGCGGGGACTGCGAACCACGGCAGGCTGTGCCCACTGGCTGGGCTGGGGCTCCACCCGCAGCTCACGCTTGGGACAGACTCACAGAGGGAGGGTAGGGAGGCACTTTTGGGAAGCTGAGAGCAAAAGGCCAACGTGCAGGACAGATCCAGGCTGCAAACTGAGAACTGACTCAAGGCTGTACACGTGAGTTCCCCCCGGCTCTTCAGGAAACCTCGCTCTCTTTGCAGGCCCTGGAAACTCTGGATAATGGCAAACCCTACGCCATCTCCTACCTGGTGGATTTGGACATGGTGGTCAAATGTCTCAGGTGGGTTTGGAGGCCACAGCCACAGCTGGCCCATGGTACCGAGTCTCTGCAGGCTCAGCCACCTCCAAATTCCTGTGCTGTGGGATCTGGGTCTGGCTGATGGTTTCATATCAGACACTTTGGGTTAGGTTTTTGCTCTGACTTGCCCAAGTCACACAAGTGGTGGTGATCTGTTAGCACAGAAATAGCAATGGGAGACACAAATATTTCTATTTACTGTCCATTCTTTAAATCACGTGTTTGGGAAATAGCTGCACTGAGTTGTGTCCGAAGTGACTGAAAAAGAGGAAGCCCCTTTTATTTTCTGTTGGCAGCAGACTTGTTATTTTAATTCCAGTGACCAAATTGTTATTCTTTCCAGATACTTTGCAGGCTGGTCAGATAAATTCCATGGCAAAACCATCCCGTTAGATGGAGACTTCTTCTGCTACACAAGACATGAGCCCGTGGGAGTCTGTGGGCAAATCATCCCAGTGAGTAAAGTGTAACAGCAGTTCCTGCAGGGCTGCAAGAATTCAGTGTTACACTGTAAGTTCCCCTCTGTTGCCAACTGCTGCTTCCTCCCAGGGGTAAACAAAGCTGGGCTTGCACCAGCTGAGAGGGCTCTTACCTCACTCAGTGCAGAACTGCTCGTTGATTTCAGGGGTTCTGAGTGAGGTTTACTTTGTATCTGCTGATTTAAAAAAATAATAAAGGGGTTTAAACCCATCTATAGGAATTACCTGAGTAAGAACCACAATTAAGTTTAAACTGCTGCCTAGAATTAACCCCAACATTTTGCATGATGAGAAAAAAGTCCAAGACTCTTTCCTAAGTGCTGATTTGAGTGGAGTTCATTACTGACTAATCAGAAACTTTCAAGTTCACACCAGCAAATCTCTCCTTGTTTTTCAGTGGAACTTCCCACTGTTGATGCAAGCATGGAAACTGGGGCCTGCCCTGGCCACTGGGAATGTGGTTGTGATGAAAGTGGCAGAGCAAACCCCCCTGAGTGCTCTCTATGTGGCCAGTCTGATCAAAGAGGTGAGGACAAGGCCAGGATTCCATCACTGCTGGAGACAGGAGCAGGGAAGGGCTGTCTGCAGAAAGGCTGGGTTATCCTGGGTGTCTCAGTAGCTGATTTATCAAAAAAACCTCCCTTGTTTATATAAATGTGTGTGCAGATGATGTAAGTCTTGATTAGGGAAGGACTCTTTGAGGTTTGATTAGATAATAAACTTCAGGATGATCAGAAAGTGAACATATTTCTATGTGTATGCACACCTCCAAACTGTGCTTGGATGTGGGGTGGGAAGAGGAATTGTCCTGGTTATTGCAAACAGCATTAAGATAAAGCCCTGGGAAATGAAAGGAGAAATCAAAGGAGTAAAGGCTGCTGCTGGTGGAGATCTCACAAACAGAGGAGGGGAGTGAAACCCCTGGTTTGTTAAAGAAATAATGTTGCTGTGACCTGCTGGGCATTGCCAGGCTGGATTCCCCCCGGGCGTGGTGAACATCATCCCTGGCTATGGACCCACGGCAGGAGCTGCCATCTCCTCCCACATGGACGTGGACAAAGTGGCCTTCACCGGCTCCACGGAGGTAAGGGAGCCCCGGCACCACGGAATGTCTCATAGCTGGGTAAAACACCGGAGGTGCTTTGCCTTCTCCACCTCATTTAAAGCTGATTCCTGGGTGTGAGATGTATATTTGCATCACTTTTGTTCTGATTTGATTCTTTAGGATATTCTCTGTTGTTTGCATTGAGCTGTTCCTTATTGGAGGTGAAACTCTGGGCAGACTTAAAGCCCTGACAGTGAGAGGATTAACATTAAATGCTGACTGAGGTGTAAACCCAGAGCCCTCTTGCTGATGTGGGAGTTAATTCCAACCTGCTCTGCTCTCCCTGCAGGTTGGACACCTGATCCAAAAGGCTGCAGCAGAGAGTAACCTCAAGAGGGTGACCCTGGAGCTTGGAGGGAAGAGCCCAAATATCATCATGTCTGATGCAGACAGTGAGTAGCTGCTGGGCAATGTTTGATCTGTGCCTTTTACCTTGGCTTCTTCCAAGCAGAGCTGGAGGGGAAAGGAAAAGGAAGCAAAGTTCTCCTGGGTGAGGCTCTAGCAATGACACCACCACTCTGCTGTGCCTCCTGCTGCAGCTGCTGCATTTGTGTATCAGCACTCCTCCACTCCCACTTCTTTTCCCAGTTCTGGGTAGTTCAGCTATCAACAAGAACAAAAAAATTGTTTCAGTGTCTTCCTCCAGTCCTTGCTCCAGTTTTGTTTTCATTTCTCTTGGAGCACACCACTCTTTTCCTCTGCTATGAAGTCCTGCTTCCCTCATCCCTTGCATATTAACTAATTTTTTGGCCTCGATGAGACAACACATGCTTTTATATGCCAGTTAAGTAAATAAAATTTGTCCTTAATACCTGATAATTTCAAATGAGAACTGTGACCTGCCTCAGTTTAGATGTTTCTCTAGTCTGGGGTGCTTCAATAAAGAATGAAATCTGTAACTCCTGCCCTACGACCCCATAGCAAATGCTGTCAACTGAAAGGACTTTGTATCCCCAGCAGTCTCTGTGATAATTGTGCTAAAAAAGTCACAGGTCTGGTTGGGTTTGTTTGCTTATTTGTTTTCTCTCCCTCTTCCTAGTGGACTGGGCTGTGGATCAAGCCCACTTTGCCCTGTTCTTCAACCAAGGGCAGTGCTGCTGTGCAGGGTCCAGGACCTACGTGCAGGAGGACATTTACAACGAGTTTGTGGAGAGGAGCGTGGAGAAGGCCAAGGCCAGGGTGGTTGGAAACCCCTTTGACTTCAAAACCGAGCAGGGGCCTCAGGTGGGAGCAGGAAATGCCCTGAGCTGTTATCTCATGGAATTGTCCCAATCTTGAGTCCTTGTGTCGATTAGAGTGGGAGTATCCTTGGCCCTATTGATTAACCTCATTGGAACTGAGCCCATTATCACTGGTGCAGGAGGGAGGAGTTAATTAACCACTGGGACAATTCCAAAACTAAAAATGACTGTTTCCCCGTTGCAATAAGGGATTGCTGGAGGCCAGCAGGTGGGAGTGGAATCTGTTTCCAGTGTGTGTGTCCCCTCCTGGCTCTTAGGTGGATGAGGAGCAGTTCAAGAAGATCCTGGGCTACATCAGCACCGGGCAGAGGGAGGGAGCCAAGCTGCTGTGTGGTGGCAGCCCCGCTGCAGACAGGGGCTACTTCATCCAGCCCACGGTCTTTGGGGACGTGCAGGACAGCATGACCATCGCCAGGGAGGAGGTGAGCGCTGCGGCACCTCAGGGCTGCGTGAGGGTGCAATGTGAGATGTGAATGAAACAATGTGTTCTGTGTTATCTGTTAAAACTAGGTGGAGCAGTGGTTTTTAATTTTTTAATAACATTTCTTTTTGGGGGATATCTATTGTTAATGAGCTGTTGGATTTTATTGCATGATTGAGAAAATTACATAATTTTAACTGTGAGATGTTTTAATTGGGGGAGGAGCTAAGCATTCTTACTTAGATAATTCTCACTATAATTTGAGATCTAAAATACTCTAAGCAGTTTTTTTAAAATTAGATTTCTAGAGGAAGACTAAATTGATCTATATTACTACTAAACTTAGAAGAAAATAACATCTTTTTATAAGATTAGTACTTTAACAGAACTACATCTGTCACTGCAAGTAGTGGCTCAGTTTAATCACTGTGACTGGCAGGGTGTCAGGTTCTATTCTGACTCTGTCAGTACTGCATTTTATTTTAATTTTCCTATTAAGTTATAGGGGATTTTTATTATTATTTATTTTAATTTTCCTATTAAGTTATAGGGGTTTTTCACTATTATTTATTTTAATTTTCCTATTAAGTTATAGAGGTTTTTCATTATTAGTTATTTTAATTTCCCTATTAGGCTATAGGGGGGTTTTATTATTATTTATTTTAACTTTCTTATTAAGTTATAGGGTTTTTTATTATTTTAAATTTTAGTTTTCCTATTAAGTTATACATTTTAAAAATTATTATTTATTTAAATTTTCTTAGTAAGTTATAGGCATTTTTCATTATTATTTTAAATTTCCCATTAAGTTATAGTGGATTTTTATTATTAAAAGCCAGCCTCACCTCAGACCCCTGTGATCCGTTCCTGCAGATTTTTCCCATGCTCTGCTTGGGTTTTTGCAGATCTTTGGGCCGGTGATGCAGATCCTGAAATTCAGAACCATCGAGGAGGTGATTCAGAGAGCCAACGACTCCAAGTACGGCCTGGCAGCCGCCGTGTTCACCAAGGACCTGGACAAAGCCAACTTTGTGTCGCAGAGCCTGAGGGCTGGCACGGTCTGGTGAGGCTGGCAGTGCCAGAGGGCAGATTGGATGGGATTTTGGGATATTTGGGATATTTGGCTAGAGAGCTCCAGGTGTTTCACCCTCGCCTTCCCTTCCAGGATAAACTGCTATGACGTGTTTGGTGCCCAGGCTCCCTTTGGAGGCTACAAAGCCTCTGGGAACGGGAGGGAGCTGGGGGAGTACGGCCTGGAGGCTTATGTGGAGGTGAAAAATGTGAGTATTTCCTGCAGCCAAGGCCTTCCCAAGCCTCTGCTGCAGCTCCAAAATGTCTTTTTTTGACATTTGTGTGTCTTTGTGTCACCGGTGTGGGTTGGGCTGAGAGCTGGGACCCATCTGGGGCAAAACTGGGACTTAAACCTTGAGCTTCCCCCCTCTCCTCAAGATTTCCCAGTCTCCAAACCTGTCCCTGGCTGGGATGCACTGGATTTTCTCCTGCCTCTCACCCTTCCGGTGAATATCCCTGAAAAGAAAAAAAAACCTTGTAACTTTCCTTTTTTTTTTTTTTTTTTTTTTTAAATCTCTAGGTGACAATCAAAATTCCACAGAAAAACTCCTAAGGCACAGCAGCCTTCTCCATGGATTTGAAAATAATTATGCAGCTTCATGGCACACAGAGGAAAGCTCAACACAGAAAATTTAGTATGCAAAAATATGTAACTCTGCTTTAAGAGGTGTTTTTTAGGTGTTTAACAGAGCTTTTGTTAAAAAAAAGAAACAAACCTACTTGGCTTTATCTTTTTAAAATACCAAATATATTTGGCTGAGCACTAACAAGGTGGGTGGTTACTCTGGGTACATTTTGGGAATGTGTTATGTGGGTGCAATCACCCATAGGAAAGAGGGGTGTGATTTTTACATCTCTATCTGATAAATAAGCTTCTTTTCCCCAAGAAACCATTTCAATGCTTGTTTAGGAGGATTTATAGGCTAGAAAATAACAATTATGTGTTGGCTTACAGAATTAGGTCTGTAACCCTTGTCCTATGAACTATGTTTCTCTTCTGTGAGCAAAGCGAACTGAGTTCCAAAGTGGTTTTTTGTTCCGTCCTGCTGGTTGTAGCCACTCCAAATAAACATTTCTTGTCTCGGTGCAGCCAACCCTACTTTTGTTGGGAGGTTTGTGCCAGTGAGCCAAAGGATCTGCTCTGAGTTTCTGCCCTCCCCGCTGTGTTTGTGCTGATGTTACAGGGACACTCCAGCTGGTGGCCGGCCCCAGCGCGGCTGGAGGAGTGAGTGGGGTGAGAGCCTGAGTGAGGGCGGTGGGGCCACGGCCATGGTGTGATTTCTGGGGAGGACGCTGCGTGCCCGGGCAGAGGGCACCGAACGCGTTCTGTGGCGCCTTCTGCGGCTCCTTCTCTGATTCCTTCTCGCCGCTTTCCCCTCACGGCCCCAAGAGCGGCCATTACCCCTGAGGGGCGAGTTGCGCGCGCCCAAGATCTCGCGAGACTTCTAACAACCCTGCCTCTCACCCAGCAGGCGCGCCGAATTCTCGCGAGAACTCCGAGCTGCGAAGGGCGGCAATCTAACCCCCTAACCCCCAGTTAGATCTCGCTCACGGAGATCTCGCGATACTTCGATTTCCTTTCCCCCCCTCAGGGGCGGGCCGGAGCGTTCCGCTCGGTGCTCCCAATGTCATCACAAAGCGCCGCCCCTCCCGAAAGCCCGGCGGGGCCTTTCCCGCCGCCGTCGCAGTTTTAGAGCTGCCGCTCGCCGCCTGCGAACCGCTCCAGCGCCGTGGCGGCGCCTCCCAAAACGCCGCGGCGGGCGCGGGGCGGGCGCGGCGGTCCCGCTCCATCCCCCCGTGCGGCCCTCGGCGGCGGCAGCGCGGTCGCGGAGGCCCGCGGCGGCCGGCGGGGCTGCCCGCGATGTCCGGGTCCCGGGCGGCTCCTCCCGGTTGAGCGGCGGCTCCGCGCGGGCCCCGCGGGCTCCGGTACCCGCGGCCCGCCCGGGCGGGCATGAGGCGGAGCGGGAGCGGCGGCACAAAGGAGCCTGCGGGGCTGCGCCTCGCCTGACGCGGCCCCCGCCGCGCCCCGCGGGACGATGTCGCAGGATCGCGACATGGACAAGACGATCAAGGTTGGCGGGGGACGCCGGGCTGGGGTCGCCGCTGAGGTGGCGGATTTTGGGGGGTTTTGCCTCAGCGGAGGCCGCTGAGGGAGGCTCAGGGGGTACAGACCGAGCGCCGCAAGGATGCGAAGTTTCTGCTCTGGCCAACAGAGGAATTGGTGCTCATCGGCTACGGGTGGTGTAGTTCTCTTGTTAATTAGTGCGCTGGTGGTTAATGAGTCTCTTATTAGCCGTGTTATTAGTCTCTCCTGCTCCTCCTCTGGGGCTCTGGCTGGTCCGGATCTGTCCCTGCTGGAATTCCCTTTTACTGATTTCAACTCAGACACGGAGCATTTTTGGTTTTTCGGTTTCTTCTCTTGGGGGTTCTCCCCAATATCCTCGTGGCCCTTAAGTCTCACATTCCTTTTGTCCAAATCCTTCTTCCCAAGCCTTGTTCCCCTTTCCCGGCTCTGTTGGCACTAAATCACAGAATTATCTGAGTTGAGTTCATCAGAAGTTTCTCTGTGCTTCTCCTGAAAACCACAAATTCCTGTGACCCACTGAGATTTTTGCTCCTCCTGAAAACCAGAAATTCCCGTGACCCACCGAGATTTCTGCCCCTTCTTCTAAACCCTTTAGAAACCCTCAGGGGTTTCTAATTTTCCAGGGTATTTGGGGATTTTTTTTTTTCCTTAATCAAGGCAGTTCCACCACCAAGCAATTTGATTTTCCAGCACCTGGGCACCACTCAAAGCTTGCTGGCTGCTCTGTCCCATGGATTAAATATTCTTATTTATCAGGTTTGACAGCTACAAAACCAAACAGCAAAGAACAGCCTTCCTTAAAGAGAATTCCCCCACATTTCCCAGCAGCCAGAACCCTGTTTCTGACCCTGTTCCCTTTTCCTGATTTTTGGGATGTCAGGCAGCCTTCCTGGAGTTCCTGCCACGAAAAAACCCCTCTGGATTTTGGGATTTTGGCTGAGTTTTGTGTGTCTGGAGCTGAGCACGTGCAGGGTGTGAGCTCAGGGTTCCTCTGTGCCCTACTGGGGGGGAGCTGGGGGATTCCTTTGGGATAAAGGGGTGGGAATCAGTGTGATTTTGATAAATAATAATTTATTACATGTCAATCAATGTAATTTGGGATATAGGGATGGAAATAAATGTAATTTGGGATAAAGGAATGTCAATCAGTGTGATTTTGATCAAGGGATGGGAATCAATGTGATTTTGATAGAGGGATATCAATCAATATAATTGGGGATAAAGGGA